AATGTTTAAAAATCACATTCTCAACAAGCTTTAACATTGCCCTTCCCTATTTCTGGCCGACAAGCATAATCTAGCAGTTTGAAAAACGAGTAAGACTGAGTGAAGGGCCAACGAACAGGCAATTCAAGGTGGTCCTCATCCCGTACCATTCAATCCGATCTTGTTCTTTATCATCGCCCGTTTTCCAGTTGCCGCATTCTTTTCGACATCTCTTTTTCTTTTGGTCATTTTTGAATGCGGTTCAATCGGTGACGCGTTTTCTGCGATCTTTTCAGGAGACTTTTCGCGCTCTGGAAGAGCCCTTGGCAAGTTTTCGTTCTTTGTCTTTGCTATCTTGATGAAATCCTTCTTTTCTGTGGCTGAATCATTAGTGGGCTCAAACTTCGACATAATCGCCTTAATCAGACTTTTCTTCGTCACATTTCCTATTGCCTGCTTTCCTGATGGCAATACCCCATTAGAAAGTTTTGGGGGAGTGGTGATGAGTTTCTCCGGTGGAGATGTTTCTTTAGATTTCTTCAATGTAGCTACTGCTGCCGATTTCTTCAGTTCTTTCTCGATTGGTAGTGAACTTTTGACTTCTTCCGAGGTATTTCGTGTTGTACGCTGTTGCATATGAGACTCCGATTTGTTGTTGATCGTTTTCCTTTCTAAACTATTTGTTAACAGCTTTTCCTCCAACATATCACTCTTTTCAACCTTTCTCACTATTTTCTTTTGCTTTGCATTCATTCCAGGTGCCGACGTCTTTTCAACTTTCTCATCATCCGTCTTCTCGACTTCTTTGGGCGGTTTCCTCACTTCCTTCTCCTTCGACAACGATTGTTTAGGTACATTTACCTTGTTCTTAACAGTCAAGCTCTTCATTTCGGACTCTTGTCCATTTTCCACTACTGTTTTTCCTAACGGTTCATTCTGCAGTGGTTTTCCTCTAGGTGTTTCTGCCACCTCATTGGAATTCTGATCCCTTTTCTTTACTGGAGGCTTATCGGACTCTGTTTTGTCCTTTTTAGGAAGAACTAGAGATTTCTTGAGAGAATCCACATCCTTTGAAGTTGCACTGCCTCCAGATGACATATCCAGAAACGATTTTGCGCTAGAATCTGCTGCCGAAAACCTGCTCGACAACGCGGCCACTCTACTGGTTACTGCCGTTTTCTTCTTTTCTACTCTTTGCGCTAATGGTTCATCAATATTCTTCTTCGGCAGTATTGGTTCTTTTTCGACTATTTTTTTGATTTCATCCTTTTCAATTGGCATTATCACGTCTACTATTGACAGTTTCCTTCCCTTTGCCGATGAGGAGATGATCGGATAGGTTACGCTAGAAGTGACAGGTTTTGTTGATAATTTCTTATCAGGTGATGATGGTGATGGTTTCGGAACCATCGCTTCCTTAACGTCGTTCGCCATAGCGAGCGGTTCCTAAAAAATGGTGTTATCATTTGTTCATTTTTCGTTTCTTTCTGATGTTTATCCTACGAAGCGACTCGCAAAACCTCGAACAGTGACTCTTCCGGACTATTCAAAGCAGAAGAGATCGTCTACGTTTGGTTAAAGATGAACAGCAAACGGCACCTAGACGACTCAAAATGTTCACTGGAGTTATCATTTACAAAAGCAAAATCGCAAAAAACACCATGCGAAGAAAATAAAAGTAATAAAACGAAACAAAAAAGAAAACATTAACGACGACGTTTCATCATTTATCGGACATACGAACTATCACAGACACCAGACAAACTAACGAACTAACAAAAGAACAGAAAAAAAAACGAAAAAAAAAACACACACACACATAACCACCACATACAACCGAGAGAACCTTCTATTCTTAGAAACTAACGTCAAACAATCGGCATGCTTAAAAAACGATTGTCTAATGGTAACGCACCTTAGTTGAAGGTTTAGTAGCCGGTTTTTTCGGCTCCTTAGATTCTTTAGGTAGATGTGGCTAGAATAATGTGAATTTCTTCAAAATCGTAGTAAGAAGTGATAGTGATTTTAGTTAAATATCGATGATCGACATGGTATAGATATAAAATAGGTCGAAGATGGACCTGTTACTACGATTCACACTAACTTCTTGTGTCATTTATCGGATCAACCAGCTTCTACCTTTGTGAATAACAACTATCATTATTCGTTCTTAAATCGTGCTAAACTAAATAATGTCTAAAAGCGAAAATCTTACTACGATGCTAAAATAGATGACAGTAAAGTAGCCCACAGAGTAAATGGTAGTTTACTCATACATATAGTCGTGAATTTCGACACAGAAAAGCTAAGCATTGTTTGTTCGAACGATGAACACGGATTATCAAGTCCTCACCACTGGATTCTTCGCAAGTTCTTCAGCCTCGTATTTAGCCTTCTTTGCCGCTTCACGACGTAGAATTCGTTCTAAATTTATTGTATTGTAGTTACAAAGTAGATTATTACACCTCTATATACTAAGTCTTTTAGTGAAGGATAATAAATGATAAAAGTATGAAGTGCTGGAGGTTGATCAATTCCCTAGAGAGCGCCATGCATTCGACTCAATTCGTAGAATCGTAGATATTGGTGAATGTATATTTGTACTATACGTCGAATGTAGTAGTCTACCGATGTACCCAGCCAGTACCTCTATCGTCCCAGATATATCCAATACCAATTAATCGAACCCAAAGAGAAGGGAACCATAAGTGAGCGGAGCGCAAGATAGAAATAATAACTCTGTATGTACGACGAGGCAACTCTAACCGGTACGCTACACGCACTGTTTCTAAGTATTTCCATATACAATTATTAATTAGGTCGTAAAATTATTGATTTAAAAGTTATGTTGACAGGTTTTTTAATAGGTTAGTAGGATTTTATTTATGACTGGCTCACTGTATTCGCCATTTCTCAACGTAGCATTTTCGATTTTATGCCGTCCTTCTGGTAATCGAAGGTTGACGGAGATCTGCAATGATTTGAAAGATCTTTACAGAAGATACGGTAATATAATGCGGTGTTACTTCAAGATGAGTGGGAAACGTTTAAATTTACGATAGTTGGAAGAGTTTAAGCAAATTTCCTATTGACAATATTAAAAAAAGCCTTCGGGGTCGATCAATCCCTGAGGAATGCGTCATGCATTCTACATCATTAAGCATCGTCTGGAGGTGATTGAATGCATATCTGGCCTTTACAATGACTATCGGTGGTCTACCGATGTATAGAACCAGTGGTCTACCGATGTATAGAACCAGTGCTGCTATCCTCCCAGACAAGTCTGGCACCAATTTTCCGACCCCGGAAAGATGGAAAGCTTGGTGGGCCATGGGCGCGGGGATCGATCCTATGTGTGTATCCAAGTCATGCCATATCATCGAGCCTCCGACTACTGCACCACACGCGCCCTATTGATAAGATATATTCATCAAATCAGACATAGGTATCAACAGAGCAAAGTGAACAACAACCCCTAGCAAAGAAAATTGACAAAAATCTGTGGGAATCAACGATCAAAAAAGAATTAAATGACTTTTAAAATCATAAATAAATACGAATAGTAAATTCTTTACAATTTCATCTCAAGAATTTCATTCAAAGGAATGAAGCCTGTAAGAGTAAAAGCCAAGAAATAAAACGAAAAAGCAACCTTACTGCGCTATATTAGCATGTAAAAGTTAAGCAGGTGTAGCCACTTGCTAATTTCCCAGACTAAATTTTTTCCCGTTGGAAATCTATTAGTTCTGCCTCCCCAATTAACTTTGTCCTTCAATACAATCAATCCCAGGTTTCTTTCTTACTAACTAAAAATACTGTTTTGCAGTTTATCATTCTAATAAACAATAGAACTCTTTTTCTTACAAAGAAACAAATGAAATCGATAAAATCAATAAGTACCTTTAACAAACCAGTATTCGCCACTATACAATCGATGATTTCTTTCTCAGCCAGTGTTGCAAACGAAACACCCTGAAGTAAGTGCATTTGAAGAAATGAGCCATAACAAACGGGTACGGCATTTTATTAATAACTACGAAATGTGAACTATGGAAATTTCCATAGAGAGAAACAATTGGTTAAGGCATAAAAACGAAAAAGTATGTAGAACCATAAGTATTATTCTCCTCATTTACCAGAACATTTCTCGTTCCTCAAGATAGTGCCTCATTATGATTCATAGATAAAAGGAAAAAAAAGGCTCTCGGCGTTGATCAATCCCTGAGGGATGCGCCATGCATTCGACTTTATTAAGCATCGTTTGGAGGTGATTGAATGCATATCTGGCCTTTACAATGCTTCGCGGTGGCCTACCGATGTATCGAGGCATTGCTGCTATTTTCCCAGAGAAATCTGGTACCAATTTGTCGACTCCGGAGGGATGGAACGCTCGGTGGGCCATGGGCACGGGGATCGATTCCACGCGTGTGTTGCAGGGTGCCTTTGACCACTGCGCCACATGCGCCCTTTGTCCACCGCTATTCATACTTAAGGACAGGAAGTGGTCCATAGCAAAAACTGAACTGTGAAAGAAACAGAAGACGAATTAAAGCAGAAGTATATTTCCTTTAATAAGATACTGCTTGGAAAAGACCTAAAAAAAGACCTCAGCCCTTCTTATTTAATCTTATCTGGAATCTATCATGTCGTGCAATAAGGGTATGCCAAGTACAAAAGTGGTTATAGACCCAGCTACTATAAGACGTCTAGAAAACTGTTCAGTAGTCACTAGAAAATACAAGGAAACAGCCAGCTACTTTTTTAATCAACTTTATGTTAGCTTATTATTGTAAAGTACACGTTGGTCAGTCAGGTCTAAGTTAAAGAGAAGTTGATTTTTCAAACGGGAAACAGATGCTCTAAGAATCATCCAATAACGATAACCGAACATTACGATCAAAAGCTTGAGACTCTGTGTCGACTAACTTGATCAAATGTAGTGGGCTACTAAATCGGAACAGAAAAAATACTATACATAAAGAATGGCGATGATCTGAATACAAAAAACCGTGGCAACTCATTCAGCAGCGCATTTTCATGGAAAGAAAAATATAAAAGATTAGGTGGTGAAGAAAAAAAATCGAGGAAACTTTCAAAGTCACCTGATTAACAGCTTTCACCTCTTCCAGCGTTTGATTGACTAGGGCAGCTCGGAAAAGCTTAGCGAAGAAATCACCACTCAGGTAGTTTGTCTCAAGGTTAAGCTTTCTCAACGCCGTGTTCATCTCTATTACTGTCAGTAACACCTAAAAACGATATTGTACAATACATTCAAAAATAATCTTAAAATAAAAAATTAAGCATTTTAGATTTTAATTTAAAAGTTCTCAAAACTACCCTTATACTACCACAATGTTTCTGAGATATTTGCAAAACTCTGGACCGCAGGTGTCTATGGTGGGGAACGAACGCGCTATTGTCCTTTCCGGGGAGTAACGCGTTCACCACCACACCATGCGGGTCCTTCGTCCCGGAAAGGACAATAGCGCGTTCTTTGTATTTTTGTTGAGCAAACGCGAGGTGTTATTATCCTTTGTTCACGATTAAGCTGACGTTTCGGCGGATTTCGCCTTCCTCAGAGCCGCTTCCTATGAGGTTTCCACTAAGTATGTCACGTAGAGACCAACCGCACAGAAATCACATGGAAATGTAATGTCGTTATAGTATAAGTATAATGTCGTAGCGCGTTCGTTCCCCACCATAGACACCTGCGGTCCAGAGTTTTGCAAATATCTCAGCAACGTTGTGGTTGTAATTCGCTTAGTACCCTGCCGCGAAATTATAGTAGGCAGAAAATAAAAAGGTATAACATTATCCTTATACTAATTTTAGGCTGATTATTATTGCTATTATCATTACTACTATATGTAACTCTTACGAACTACCCTTGCTCAGCTGAAACCAGGTTGGTATCCGTTGTCCTCGTTGTTGGTGATTATGTGATTCGATGGCCAACGTTTTCGGCAACTTCGTCTTGTTCGAAGCCGTTTTGTTCACAGTAGAAACAGCTCTGTGTTGTTCACGAACATCCCACATCATGAACATCCCACGTTAACAACGTACGGGTGGTGGCTAATAAAGGATAGAAGATAAAGCTCTCGGCGTTGATCAATCCCTGAGGGAAGCGCCATGCATTCGACTTCATTAAGCGCCGTTTGGAGGTAATTGAATGCACATATGGCCTTCACAATGACTCGCGGAGGCATACCAATCTATCGAGTCAGTGCTGCTATCCTCCCAGACAACTCTAGTACCAATCTGCCTACCCCGGAGGGATGGAAGGCTTGGTGAGCCATGGGCGCTGGGATCGACTCCACGTGTGCGTCTCAGTGGCGCCTCCAACCACTGCGCCACACGCAACTCATGGGTGGTCGCACACCTAACAAAACGGCTTTCGAGAATGCGAAATTGCTGAAAATGTTGGCGATCGAACTAAGGCAACAACAATAACTGATTACAACTTCGTGTCAGCTCAACGAGGGTAGTTTATAAGCACCACCTATATTAAAAATTAATTCCAAGCTTTAAAGTGTCTTGAGTTACCACTACTTACTTACTTGATAGTTAAACGACCCGTCCTCACTAGCCGTATGCGTCCCAGCACAATCACCAATTTTCGGAGATTTGTTGGTTAAGCCATTGTGGTTCCCTGGAATCCAGAGGTCAGTCTGGCCGAAGCCTGCCCCATGTTTTCACCACCACAGGCAGTCGCAGCCGTTGTGGATCGGAGGGAGATTTGCCACCATACGACTTTGATACCAGAACGGTGGTGGATCCTGGTATTGGTTTGCTCTTAGCTAAGCTTCCTGATGGGAACGCCGGACTGCCTTCAGCTTGGGAGATCCTGCCGAGGAGACAAATGCTCTCGCTTTACATCGCACTCCGACACCCAGGAACACCTCCCAGCCACGAGAAGGCGGTAAACCGTTGGGAGGTTTGAGTTATCATTACCACCATTATATGTAAATATAGTTTTCGCTCTCTCCAGACAACCGCCAATGTTCTTTAACGTATGCCTGCCTATAATCGTGCGCAATGGCTCATATTACGCGTATTGATCGACTAGCTACAAAAATCAATACGTAGACCTCGCGTTGGAAATCCTAGTCTCCAAAATTTTAAGCGTTATTCATATATTTTTAACTCGCGAAATATAGTTGAATGCTACTACTCACTGCTATGTCATTGTCGTACAGACCCATGTTCGCCAGTGATAATCGTTCACAATGCTCGTTATAAGCCATTGCCTCTAATAGTCGTCGTATTTGTGGAATTGGTGTACGCTGAAAAACAGCTCGAATCCCAACCGAGATCCAGTTTTTCTCCAAATTGGAAGTAATATCTATGACTTTGTAGATGTTTCTATTCTATTACATATATGAGTAGACATTTCATCCATTGAAAAAAGGAAATAAAAAAAATAGAAAAAAGAAAATAGTTTGAAACAAACATCCATGAAACGGTGGAAAATAGATATACCGACCCAGAATTCTGTAGGAATAGGGTCTTCCTTGATGATACCTTTGTAAATTTACCAATACAGGAGTGCTTTCCCACTTCGGGAACAAATTTAGAAAGACGAATGAGAAACATTTCACCCAGAAATTTAGGCAAAGACATATAGGGGCTATTCCTTCAGTCTCGAGAAGCTCCAACTCCATTGTGGACGATAGCCTTCACTCTCCGAAGAAAAATATTTCTTTAAAATCAAACATTACGCTTCCTTTAGTGTTTCAGAGAAAAAAAATAGAAATCCGTCAGATACACATAAATAACCAGCAGCGATGAACCTTCATATTATTAAGATTGATCTCTTTGAGGTGTGGATCGTTGTCGAGCAGCTTCTGAATGCATTGGTCGACGTCGGTGTCATTGTCAGGTTCTGTGGGACGAACCTGCTCCGGTAAACTGCTCTTCACCGGAGCACTGCTTGTGTCCATGAGAATACGTTCGGCTTCATCCCAAGAGATGATTCGATTCTCATTCATTGCTTCTGAAATCAGGAATAAAAAGTATAACTCATATCTATTCATATGATCTTAAAAACTGATCTTCTTAAGCTGACGCGAGGTTGGTACAGGTTTTCGTTGTCGTTGTCGTTGTTTTTGATGTTGTTGATCGATGGCTGACGATTCGGCGACCTCACCTTCCTCAGAGCCTGGACGTATTTTATATTAGAATATTTTTATTATCCGGTGGAAAAGAAAGATTAAAGTATTAATGAAGATCAAACTTTTAAATAGACGCCATTTCAAAAATCAAAAGATGAGCTAGAAAGACGAATGCCTCACTATCATTCGTGACCTGGCGCCCTATTTCAAAATGATATTTTGACCCCCGGGGTGTCTTGCTCGCGACCCCACGTGAGCTACGCGTGGGCCAGTCCCACTCGTAACATCGCGGTGAGCAGCCTTTCTGTTCAACATGGCGTCTATTTGAAAGTTTGATCTTCATTAATACTTTAACACTTTTTTCCACCGAATAATAAAAATATTCTAATATAAAATACGTCCAAGCTCTGAGGAAGGCGTGGTCCCCGAAACGTCAGCCATCGATCAACAACATCAAAAACAACGACAACGACAACGGAGAGCTGTACCAACCTCGCGTCAGCTTAAGAAAATCAGTTTATAAGATCACATAAATAAATATATCAACTAAACAACCAACTATATGCCGATGTTTATAGAAAGTCGGTTTTTTGAGTTATAACTCGTATCGAAAAACAGCATATAATATATTCTACAGTTGACTGACGCCTTCTGTCGGCCATTGTCACTGTCATCCGGTGACTGGAGTTCTGATGCTCGACATTGAGCTGGACAAAATACAATTTGAAGTAACTGCTGTTATAAAATAAGTGCCCTAATAAACACCATATTGCTAAGGTCTGAACATTTATGATAAAGTAGTTGAAAAATTATATAATTGGTCAAAGCAATAAAGAGAAACAGGAAACGTTCAAAGACAAAGGAACAAAGCGGCTTAAAAGTTATAGTGCCGTCAATGCCGAAACGCTCTTACAAAACTAAACAATCAGATATTTGCGCATAGCCTACCTTCACTTCAGTGTAAAACTAACATTTACCCACCACCTCACATAAAAAACAACTCTTTAGCGGAGAAACTGTCACTGGATACAGTAATTCACTGTTCAGACGCGACAGTTGAAAGAGGCAGTCCTTTGGCAGTTGAACAAAGAAGCATTGAAGAAATCTACTCTAGAAGTGCACAAACCTCGTTCGAATCCACGAAGACTTAAGAATGAGCGTATTGAAAACCTCTAAGCGCTATGCTAAGTTTCCTAGGACTCTATGGAACAAACACCTACCAAATCAACAACGTGCTAGCTAAGCGAAAATTCGGCACGATTTTTCATGAACACCACAGATCATCCAGTTATTAAGTAAGTTGATAACCAAAGTGATCAATGCTGTTGACAACTGAAGGACACTGAAGGCAGAATTCTCGTTAAAGAGACTTGAACTTGAACTCACTGAGCAGTTCGCCGATGTCAGTATCGGTTTCGTTGCCCATCGCCTCAATGGCCTTGACGAAATCCTCGTCGGTCATCAGATCGTCGGTGCGGATCGTCCCCGGCGTGTCTGGTACCGATGTACCATTCGACATCTATGAGCGTATGAGGTTTTCGACAATGAACAAGTACTGCGACGATTACAAGAGATTCAATCACGACTTCAGTCAGCACTAAGAAAAGCATCACAAACAGGGGATTTTAAATAGTTGATGAAGATGAGAGCAAGAAATTTCCATGGTAATGAAATCTGCTTCACTCTGTAAACAAAGGTTCAAATAGGAATTACTGTAACCGTTTCTTCCAGTTCAATTCACAAAAATCTGATTTCATCATTTTTTTCTGAAAGACACGTGGTGTATAAGAACATTGACGTAACCAAACATCATCGATCGTTTAAGATGTCGTGTGAAGGTATTCGTACGAAATGAAGGCGAAATAGCCAAGACAAAACTGTGAGTTGCAGAAGAAAGAAGCATTAAACACACATATAATAAAAGGATAAAAGCTCTCGGCGTTGATCAATCCTTGAGGAATGCGCCATGCATTCGACTTCATTAAGTATCGCTGAAGGTGACTGAATGCATATCTGGCCTTTACGACGACTCGCGGTGGTCTACCGATGTATCGAGCCAGTGCTGCTATCCTCCCAGACCAGTCTGGTACCAATCTGCCGACCCCGGAGGGATGGAAGGCCTGGTGAGCCTTGGGCGCGAGGATCGATTCCACGTGTGTGTCGCAGTGGCGCCTCCAACCACTGCGCTGCACACATATATATATGTATATACGTGTATGCGTACACCAAGTACACATACACACACATATACATGTACACATGCACATATACATATACATACACATTCACACATGCGCATACACATGCACATGCACTCACACATATACACATATACACATACACATGCACGCAAACATTTCATATTGAATATAAATTAAGGTTAACATGGAAAAACCCTTAGGATCGCCTTTCCAAATAGTCGTCGAACGTGAAAGATTACGGTAAAGAAATTATGAAAAAAAGCTGAATGTCTCCCATAATTTTTAAGAAGTCATATTTTTCAGTTAGAAACAATTCATTATATGGCTACAAAGATAGAGAGAAAGCGTGAAGAAAATAATGTCGAGACATACGATAGAGAAAAGAGATAAACTCGAGGGAGGAAGAAAGGGAGAGTTGATAAGACAAAAATGAGCTTTATGTCACCTTCAGAACGGAGATGACGAGAAATCAGTCGATAATCAATGTGATTCACAGCGTTCAATATTAGAGCGATTTCAAAACAACGGCCTCTAGTTATTATTTTTTGCTCACGTCATTATTGTTTACCAGGATAAATCCTCTTTTCTGCTTAACCATTTGCCTCAGAAAAACCTTCTTACGTCATCATTAACAGTCATTTCAAAGACTGAACTTATATATTGAATATGAAGCTACGATCTTGAGGCGTTGAAATTGTTAGTACAAAACTTAAAGAGAGGCTTCGGTTCCTACCGAATGAATGACTACAATGGTGGGCATTCATGAATCTTTTGAAAACCTAAGTTCGTAACGTCGTTATGGAAGAAGTACTGCAATGTATGGTCGTGTCTGCTACATATCAGCATGACCATGACAAATCCTGAAGAGAGCAAAATCTTCCAAAACATCGATGTCCAATATTCTTGCTTTCTAATGTTCTGTAGAATACGGTACCACCATCTCTATTCTACAAGAACCATCCTCTCGTGGAAAGGACAAATAGCTGCAATGGTGAAGAAGTAAACCTCAAATCTATCACAGGCTAGAATTTGTTGTTTCTACCTCAAACTTTTAGCAGGAAGATATCGTTATCAAGAATATTGGTCATAAATACCATGCGCTTCCAACATCACAGTGACAGTACCAGTGAATACTCGGGCATATAATCCCCAGGTGGAGTTGCGTGAACTGATAAACTGATGGCATCGTAAATTCACATCCGAGCTTGCGCAGTTGTATAAGAAAGAGGTAACCCTGTTGCAGTCTCATGACAAAGGTGCACTGAAGAAATGTGCAATATTCGGTCTGGGCAGCAAGAAATCCGAACATTTAATCGACTTTCCGCCAGTTCTTAAACACATTTTCCAATTTTTCCACACGCCATCTGTCAGAATGCAAGGTTTCTAGTCAATAAGAAATCTATCGAACTATGTTGTTGTAAAAGAAGAGAGCTTTTACACAACATCGGAAACTATCGCCCAATCTACTTGCTGTCTCAGTCGTCCAGAAGTTTTTTATTCGCGCCATCTTAAACCGGATTTACATAACACTTTAAGGAAAACAGTCATGAGAACAAGTATGATTTCCGAAAGGGATCAATACGATGAATCATGAGCGATACTGTTACGAAACACCTAAATATCCCTCGAGTACAAGATTACAGCATGCCGTAGCTTTCTTCGCTTAGAAAATACTTGCAATTGAGACGAGAAAGATGCAGTTGTGATCTTTATGTAGCGCTCATGGATAATTTAGTTAAACAAGGCATGCCCGCTCAGACCGTAAAGATACTCAAATGTCCTATACAGTATCGTCATCTCATGAAAATTATTAAACGGCACTCTTAAGAATGTTACGTCAAAATGAAGATGGAAAACATGGTAATAAGGTCGACCACAGGCTGCTATAATATTTTTCACCACTGAAGACACGGTAGTTCAGTACCCAACGGTTTACTGCCTCAACGTGGCTGGGAGATGTTCCTGGCTGTCGGACTGCGATGTACAGCGGAGGGATTCGTCCTCCCAGGAGGGTGTCCTAAGCGGAGAAGGAGCCCGGCGTTTCCATCAGGAACCCTAGCTAAGAGTAAACCAATAATAGGAACCACCACCGTCCTAGTATCAAAGTCGTATGTTGGCAAATCTCCCTCTGATCCACAAGCGCTGCGACTGCCTGTGATGCTGAAGACCTTGGGCAAACTTTGGCCACGCTGACCTCGGGATTCCAAGAAACTACAATGGCTTAATCAGCAAGTCTCCGAAAAACTGTGATTATGCTGGGGTCCGCACAACCAGTGAGGATGGGCCGTTCAAGTATCAAGTAAGTAAGAAGACACAGTGTATACAGTATAGGGCATAAGACATTTAGAATGGATTGTGGGTGGATTTATATGGGGCTCTAAGAGTGGTCGGTGGAGTTCCAACGATATTCAACTGTACGGATTTGTGTTCCTGATGTCACACCATACCTATGGTTAAAGTTTTTTTGTGTACAAAACTTAATACGATGAACGACACTACCCTATACAGCTAAACAGGATAAAGTGACCTCCTTGACAAGCTCATAAGAGCGCTGGTGAATTTCTAAAAAACCTAACAAACAGCGACTGGTTCGGCGCTCTCTTCGACACAAGTGGTCTTCCTGCTTTAACACGCATTTCGGACACCAAGCATCACATACGCAAAGTGAAAGAACGATCATTAGCATGTACCACTGACAGAGTTATCCTAGGAGTATTCCATTTCACATAGGCGAGAAAACGAATTCACAATACCAAACTAATACGCCGATGATCGGAGATCGATGACGCTGCGTTATACGCTAAGGTGACGAACAGCAGGTGGGCAGAACATTCCATGTGTCTGAGCTGTCGCTGTGGCGAAGACCTATAAGCGTCTGGATTCATCCAACGCATCAAACGAAGAAAAACGGAAAGACCATTGAATTCCTCTCCAAAATCCTGAAACGAAAGCTTGATGTTCTTTGTGTCCTTGTCCGTCAAATGAGCACGGATCTGCTGGGAATCTTTGCCAAGAGATAAAGTCGAATACTGGTCTTACCGGTGCTAGGATTAGTCATATGATGACCACCGTTGATAGGAATAACTTTTCCACATAGAATTTTAAATGCGATACATGATATGAGCTAAAGAATTCCAATAGTATTGCGGTTGATCGATGGACAATGAGGCTGCTGAAAGCAACCCTCACAGCACAGCTGACAAAATAACAAATATTTTAGCATCAGTTACAGAACTACGCAGAATTTCTGCTAAAGATCACCCCACAAAACACGGATTATCACCAATTACGTCACAAGAACTACAGAAAAACAGCTTTCAATATCGCAAAAATTGCTTTTATTAGCCACAACGATGCTGAGATATTTGCAAAACCCCGGACCACAGATGTCTACGGTGGAGAACGAACGCGCTATTACCCTTTCCGAGGGCTAACGCGTTCACATCTACATCATGCTGGTTCTTCGTTTCGCCTGTCTCTCAACTAATTCTTTGCTTGTACTGCCAAAAAACTACTGGATGAACTACTCACCGAGCCATCCATATAAAAGTAGTACTTTCATAGAACATGTTTTCATCGCACAATGATAAATCTGGAGCCAAGAAAATGTCTATTAGAGAGATTCAGAATTCAGCAAAAGTGAGCAGGAACAAGAAATCCACAGAAAAGACAAAAAGAACCAGAAAAAAGTGACGAAATGAAAACCGATAAAAATGGAAAAAAGAAATAGAAAGTAAACAAACGATAGAAAAAAATTAAGAATCAATAAGAAAAAAAGAGACTTGAATGATTCAGAGTTGGAACGATCTATCACAAATCACCAGACGAACGAATAATGTTTCGCCGATGGTCATCAGATTCAATGGCAGACATTTACTAAAGAAATATAGATGAAGCTCTTGATCATAACGTTTTCGATTTCTATGACAGATGAAGGGGTGAGTATAGCTCTGCGGTTAGATGTGCTCTGCAGTATATACGTTGCCGTTTGTTCAATCCCACGCCCTAAGATAAGCAAGCGCCCTCCATCAGTCCGAGGTTGGTACAGTGGCACCAGAATTGACTGAGAGGATAAGAAAAAGCTCTGATTTACATAGATAGATCCCACGCAAGTCACTACATAAGCGAAATATTGTTCATTCTTCGCGATACTACGAATGGAAGCAAATGCATGGTGTATCCTTAGTGCATTGATCAGCACCGTATGCTTCATTCTCCATACCTTATGAAGAAAAAAACTTCCAACTGCCCATTAAAAAGTGTCTTTCGACACATGACTGACAACTCACTTATAATACCAGTTACTGAGGTTTCTCTG